TCAAATGCTGCTTTGATGAGAATGCTGGTGGCATCTACAGCAGACAAAGATGTCATCGATGCAGTGAAGTTCTTTCAATGTCAGGTGTGCAAGCAGACAGAGAAAGATCAGCATCCGCGTGTGACAAAGGAGACAAGGCCATCTTCGCAGATGCACTTCAACTATGAGCTTTCGGCGGATGTCTTTGAGATCCATGACAGTGAGCATCACCGCCACTCCATCCTGTCTTTGGTGGACTTGGCCCACACACTTCCATGTGGCAGTTCGAGTTGCAGGAGGAGGAACACCCAGCTCGAAGGCATGTGCTGATGCCTTGAACGTCTCCTGGATTGCATGGGCTGGAGCACCCACCTTCTTTGTGGCAGATCAAGGAGTTCACAACAGAGGAAAAGTGGCACATCTCCTTACCGTGATGGGCACTACCATCCGGCAGACTGGAGCTCGAGCACCTCATCAACTTGGAGTTGGAGAACGTCATGGAGGATTGCTCAAGGAGATCATGAAACGTGCCATCCATGAAAGACAGATCAAAGGAGCTGAAGACATTGCAGCTCTGTGCTCAGAATCGGCAAGAGTGAAGAATCTCTTCATCAACCAGCACGGCTACTCACCGTCTCAATGGGTGATGGGCTATCAACCTCAGGACATCACTTCACTGAACAACAACGACTTGGAGCAGAGTCTTGGCCTACACCAGAGCTTGCTGGATGCCGAAGAGGGAGCGCAAGATTCCTTTGCAAAGCAACTGCTGATTCGTCAATGGGCAAAGGAAGCTTTCATCAAGCTTGACACCTCTCAAAGAGTGCGCAAAGCCATGCTCCGGAAGAGCATTCCTATGAGGGGCCCATACCGCTGTGGAGATTTGGTTTCTTTCAGCAAGAAAGGCAAATGGTATGGACCTGCCAGAGTTCTCGCTCATGAAGGAAAATCTTCACTCTGGCTGTTGCACTCAGGTGTCGCCATTTTGGTGGCAGAGACCTCATGCAGCCCCGGCAACTACAGCAGAAGTCTTGAAGCGACATGCTCTTGAATTGCGGCCTGAGAGGAAAAGGAAGAGACAGATCCTCACCGACTGGCAAGAAGATGATGAACTACCTTTTGCGGACGACTACATCGAGGACAACAACTTCCGCGGAGGGCCAGGAGGATCGAGTGAGCAAGTCCCATCCGTGGACTTCCAAGAGGTGAATGCAGGACAAGGCGAGACGGGAGTGACTGCTATCCCCGGAGATGCTGAAATGAATGAAGGAACAACTTCATCGACGTTTCCATCGTTGCCTCAACATGTTGAACAACCTCACCAAGCACCTCTCCAGAGTCCACCTGGACTCGAGATGGCAACTTCTATGGAAGATGGTGTTGAGACACCAGTTGAAACAATGACTAGGGTTTCAACAATGAGCAGTCAACCGGAAGCAGAGATTACTCCGGCACCAAGCATCTCTACTCATCCAACATCAGGTGCAGCACCTTCTAACATCATCAACGAGCAGGTGACGCCTCTGACACAGTCCCTGCGACAGAGCCCTGATCGTTTGGATGGAATTTTCCGTCGACGTGAGCCTTCAGCCTCCGACAGCTTTCTTGCCAACAAGACCGAGCGCAAGTACAAGAAGAAGACGCAAAAGGTCGGAGCAGGCCGTGAGCTGAACTTTTCCAAAGAGACTCCCGAGATGCAAAAGAAGCTTTTGGCCACTCGGGAGAAAGAATGGCACAACTGGAAGTTCTACGGCGATGGCAAGCTGGTCTCAGAAGAGGAAGTGGTGCACATGACCTCTCAGAACCCGGAGTTGAAGATCATTCCAACTCGATGGGTGGATGTCAACAAGAGCGAGATTGGAGAAGAAGAGAAGCTGAAGTCAAGACTGGTGGTGCGAGGTGACCTTGAGGATAGCAGCTTGATGCGCTGCGACTCGCCCACGTGCAGCCAGACCATGATCTCATTGGTGCTCACCTTGGCAGCTTGTCGAGACACCACCTTGTGGTCTGGTGACATCTCCGCTGCCTTTCTGCAGGGCAGCAAGTTGGATCGTGTTTTGATTTTGAGTCTTCCCAAAGATGGAGTTCCAGGAGTTGCACCCAACATGTACTACATCGTTTCCTCCACCGTCTATGGCACGAAGGATGCACCTCGTGGTTGGTGGAAGAACCTGGACAGCACTTTGAAGAAGAAAGGATTCCATTCAGTTCCCTATGAGCCAGGAGCCTACACTTTGTTGGATGGGCAATCTGGACTGGCAGGTCTGTTGGTCACTCACGTTGACGACCTGCTATGGACTGGAGGACAGGTCATTGAAGACCTGATGAAAGATGTGTGCAGCCACTACAACTTCGGCAAGGTTGAGAAAGATGAGTTTCGCTACTGCGGTCGCAACATCTCCACGACTGCTGAGCACATCCTCGTCAAGTGCGACAACTTGATTGACCGTGTGCGGCCAATTTGGCTGACCCATGAGCAGAAGCGTCATGAAGCTCAACCAGTACCTGAAGCAGTTCGAGGGCAGCTCAGGAGCATCATCGGCAGCTTGGCATGGTTGGCTCGTGTTTGCAGGCCAGATTTGGCCTATGCAGTGTGCCGCATGCAGATGAGCGTGCGCTCGGCCACCTTTGGTGATGTGAAGTATGCCAACTCCATTGTGGCATTGGCCCAGAGGACCAAGAGCTTTGGCCTGAACTATCCCATCAAGGCCTTTGAGTTTGAGAAGGCGATGATCCTGGCAATTCAAGATGCCAGTCATGCAGCTGACTTTGAAGCTAGCTCGTCAGGAGCAAAGATGGGACACAGAAGTCAAAGCGGCCGACTCCTTTGCCTCGCGAGCCCTGACTTCCACAAGTCCAAGAAAGGACAGCTGGCGCTGATCGAGTGGCACTCAACGGTGCTGAAGAGGGTTTGCAGGTCGACACTGCAAGCTGAAGCCTTAAGCCTCCTAGCTGGAAGCGAAGAAGCCGACCACTTGAGGTTCGTGCTATATGGACTTCTACACCCTCATTGCACTGTCCCTCGATGGCAAGTTCGTGCGATGGACTCAGTGCTGGTGGAGTGGGTGACGGACTGCAGGTCGCTCCACGACCATGGAAACCAGGCTGGCCTCCACATTGTCAGCGACAAGAGATTGGCCATCGACATGTGCGGCTTGCGCCAAAGCCTTTGGAGACTTCCGGAAGAGGAAGTTGGAGATCCTTCGGCCACTGACCGGCTTCCAGAGGCCGGAACGACGAAGCTCACCTGGACCTCGACCGACAAGATGCTCGCGGACCCTTTGACAAAAGGGATGAAGCACGACGGCCTAAAGAGGCTGATGGATGGCTTTGAAGTCGACATGTCACCGACTCTGGATGGATTGAGGGCCAAGAAAGAATATGGGTGTGAAATGGAACATGTTGACCTGGCAGAATCCTCACTCCATGCGGTTGCCCCTTCAATCCGTCCAGCAGGTTTGACTGTCACACAGGCATGAACGATCGCCTGTGGCTCAAGATGCAGGCTCAAAAGGACGCGCAGCTTTTGAGACCTTTTCACGTGTGGGTGTCACGACTTTTCATAATACAGTTTATAGGGAAGCTGAACACATTGACTTTGGAGGATTTTTTGGAGGAGAACTTTTGATGAGGATTATTGCGGACCATTTCTGAGATGCTTCAAGACTTGTGGACATGTTCATTGGAGCTCTGACACGAAAGGATGGAGTCGATCCGTAAGACTGCGAACCCTATCAATTTGTTGTGTCTGAAAGGTAGAATTCTGTGTCTGAAAGAGATGGCCCCCCCCATTCAGTGCACAGAATTCTGCCTCGCTCCTAATCACTGTCGGCCGCACGGCTCCCCGATGGGTCGCATGAAATGGCAACGCCACGACCGCCATCCTTCGCAGGACGCCGCAGTGGCAGATGCCACTGGCATTGACATTAGCCCAGAGATGTTGTCCAAAGCCATGCGCTCCGGCTTCTATTCTTGCTGCAAGGCAAAATGAGATGTCACGAGGTGAAGGAAGTGGAGTCAGGATGGGTGACCCATTAAGTAGGATGAAGATGATGAAGATGGGTGAAGAAGTTGACTATAGGCCATTTGAACACGCTCAAGGCAACTCAAGAAGCACGCTCCGCCCGGTATACCATGTATGGATTCAACTATGGATTTAACTATGGTTGACTATGGACTTAACTATGCTTAACCATGCACTTTGCTCTTTAACTCAAGCCGTATGGAGCCAGGTCTAGCGTCGCTGTAGCAATGCTCCGCCAAAACATTGTGCCATGGACGCCAATCCTTGAAGCACCTGTGGGCATCAAAGACATGGGGAGCTGGAAAGCGGTGGTGTACACGCAGGAGCAGCAGCAGCGCTTGGGAGTAGGAGAATTTGGCCAGAGGTTGCTTGCGGCAAGTGGCAGACCTCCCACCGTGGCACCGCAAGCACCACATGTCCCGAATGTGCCACAGCCAGTGGTGGAAGATATGGGGACGTGGAAGATCAGCCACTTTGGATACACTTCTGAACAGGAAGACCGTCTCGGAAGTGACCATCACTGCTCGAAGTGCCATGGTTTGCCAGTGTCCCCTCCTACAATGAACGGCTCCTTTGGGAAAGCGGTGTTGAATTCTCCTGCTTTGCTCAAAGGTTTGTGCCAGAGGTACTTTCGGAGCTATGACATGAATCGCAACAATAGCCTGGAGCTCGATGAGCTTCATACTCTTTGCGATGATTTGCACATAGGCCTGGGCATGAGCATGAGTCTCTTCACCCCAGAGGCCCTCAAGGCCTCAGTGGCCCGATTCAGTGGTGGCGACAAACTCAGTGCAGGAGAGTTCCATCTCTGGTTCGCCGAGGCGCTAAAGGAAAGCATTGAGGCGCACCAAAGACTTGAGGAGCAGGCAGCGGTCGTCTTACCTTTCACAGTGAGATCAGAAGATAAGCTAGCAAGCATCAAGGCTCCTCTCGATGTTAGCATGCAAGATGTCATAGAGGCGGTTGCAGCAGTGTTGGAATTACCATCAGCAAACACATGTTTGCTGCATGGAGACAAACAGCTCCCTTCCGGTGAAACTCCTCTTGCAGAAGTTGGTCTCAGCGAGCAGAGCGAGCTTACCGCAATCGTGGTTGGCCAATAGAGATCTTGGGTCAGGCTCTGCTGGAAGTGACCAGCGTGCCTCCAAGGGAAACAAAGAGAGGTGAATCTATTCAATGTACAGAATCCGAGGTTGACATTTCTCAGGCAGACTTGGTTTTTGAAGTACTTAGATCACGCCTGCTTTGCATATCCTGCAAGCCTTAAGAACTTGCACCAATTCGTTTCGCCGTCGACGATGGTTACCCTCCAAGGCGACCGCTCGGACATGCAGAGACGCGCAGATATGCGCAGAGCGAAAAACGCACTTTGCTCATCTTTGCTCTTGAATTCAATCACCGGATCTCACATTGATTTACTTGGAATGGACTGAGATGTCCCTTTGTAGGGTGGGTGTTGGCAATAGCTTTTGTGTGTCTGAGGTGGTGTCTTTTCTGCTTGAAACCATCACATTCCATTTCCCCGGGGCCAAACAATCTTCACCCCTAGTTTGTCACCATAGTTCAAACCATCATCAACCATCAATTAACTATCAACTAACCACCATTATATGGGCATCATTAACCATATTGTGTCTCTATCTCTTGGAATAGTTAATGCGGGTTCTCAGCTCAATCAAGCCTTTTTTGGGATGCTGAGGCAAATCCACAGACCAGGCGGCTTACGTGCCGCCTGGTTTGGTGAATCGGGTGATCGTGTTTCTTTTCCCCTACAGTCATTTACAATGCACTAGCATCTGGCGTTCCCGGGAGCCGGTCGTCCGACGATGGGGGTTCGTGGTGATGTGGAGGTGGTCGACCTCAAGAAGCGCTTCGAGGGCTTGGAGGACGAGGCCTTTGACCTCACACTCTGCCTCGGGACCTTGACCTACATGTCCCCCGCCGCTCGGCCGGAGGTTTCACGCCGCCGGTGTGGTCTTCTTTTTCGATCAGGTGTTGTTGGTGGTGTTTTCACAGAGACGGGTGGGTGGCGGATCAACATGGGATGAACATGTTGTGGGGCAGGATGGTGGTACTTTTCCGGTCTGGAGTGTTCGGCGCAAGGAAAATCCTGTTGCTCTTTTTTTGCCCGGATGCGACGGAAAGCACGGTCTTCTTTGCGCGTGGAAACGCAAAGGAAGACATGACGCTGACGGAGCTCTGCCGCGTCACCAAGAAGGGTGGCTACGTGGTGTTCAGCATGAGGACCTGGGTTGACGCATGGTTTCTGGTTTCTGCCATGTTCTGCCAGAAAGACTCTGAGTTTTTGGACTCCGAACTTGTAACATGAGACCTAATTTGTTGAGTTTCTATTGCACTCGCCAGCTGGTCAATGCACCTGCTGGTTTCTGGAAGAACAACTCCTTCACTGAGAGTGTTCCGGCCTCCAGAGGACCGACCTCTGTGAGAAGTGGGAGGCTGCTCAGGCGGCCCTCGAGCAGAAAGGCGTGTGGACTCATTTGGGGACCAGCGAAGGCTTCGACTATTTGCCCGTGCCTTGGATGGTGGACTGGGAAACACGTAGTGAATTCGGTCCATCAACTCCGATCGTCACAGCGACAGAGGAACCGAGTGACTCGGGCCGTAATGCTCGCCATGCATGTAACCCCGTGAACCCAACGGCGCCGTGGTTGTTTGAGGCGAACCCGGAGTACGGGAACACTATCTTGGTGAAGGTCTACGTCTACCAAGTCGCATGACCAGTCCCTGAATCTGGCACGATTCCTTTTTCGACCGATGAACGACCAGGACCCACCGTGACCTCGGCGCCTTGCAGCTTTAACCACGACCACAGATTCCGCGTCGCCTTTTGCAGTTCCACCCCTGCGGCTTGCGCGGTTGGGCGGAGTTGATGCACGGAAACCTGCGTGTGAAAAAGAACCAAGCAGACAGTGAAGGCATTGGAGGGTGGGTCTTTGGGAGGTTGAGCAGGTTTCACAAGACAGATAAAGATCGTGTGTTGAACATCATCTCTTTATGGATACTTCTTGCTTGGCCAGGGAGCCAGCCCAGCAGCTGACCCAGCAGCTCCAGCGTCGGGTCTCGGTCCGCTGGCCGTCTCGAACGACAGGTGCAGATGCGCAGCCAGCTGAAGAAGCTCACGGAAGAGGCGCCGAGAATCGCTTTGATGACTTTTATTCCTTATCGCTTTGAAGTGATGGCCCATGCTGAAGCAGTTACTTGTACATGGCAGAACGAAGCACCTGAGAAAGAACCGCGAGTTGGGGCTTCAACGGAGTTGGAGATGGACCCTTCATGAGGTTGCTGGGAACGCTGGTTCTGATGTGGCCAGATGTGGCCCATCAGGTCTGTCAGTCTTTCCCCTCCTTCCAATCGTTGCACGTGAAACGGACAGGTTGTTTCGTTGTGAAACGGCATGTGATGGGCGTTCGAGTGATGCCCCAGTGGATCTTTTTTTTCGCCACATCCATAGTACACTCTCTGAAATCATCCGATAGCATGGCCCTGAAAGGATGACCATGAAATCCGAATACCAAATAGGTGGTTTTCACTCCACTTCATTTCAGGGGAGTGTCAGATCGTTTTTTGTGCCTGAGGTGCAAAGCAAGTCTATGAGCTCCGCTCTTGGATGTGGCACACAGAGTTGTTTCTTTGGACAACCCCCAAGTGAGCGTCACACGCTTGTACCAGGTGGGGGATAGGCTTCCCCTGCCGTGGGAGATTTGGTCTTGCTGTGGGGGAACCCTTCAGAATTGCTCGCATTTTGCAGCGTTTCCACCACGGAACACTGCCACTGATGTTCTGGGACATGGGACTTTTGGCAGGAACATCGACAAGCTGGTTTGGCATGGGTGATTATATACATTTTTTTCCCTGTGGGTGAATCCCTTTCCGCTATGTTTGTTCCCGTTCCTTAAGCAATTCCAAGATTACAGTAATATATCATCGTCCATTTGCTACAACCTCCAAGAGTACTGTACGGGAAGAGATCCATCCTTCTCGAGCGAAGGCGCTCGGTCACCTGGGTCAGTGTCTTTGAGGATCTTGGAACCTTTCAATAGCCAATTGCCCACCGTAGTCAGTTGTCAGTTCTCTCTGAAGCTGGCTGGCTTAACAGACTCCTGATTGGATGATCCAAGGTGGATAGACTTCCTTCATCTTCCTTCTGTGAACATCTCATCCCTCCTTGGGGCCAAAGGATTCGTCCAGCAGCTCAAAAGCGCCGATTTCTTTGACAAAGATGTGGAACACATGGATGCTGGAACGAGCCATGATGTTCGTCCTTAGCAGCTCCAGATCTTGTCCACAAGAACATCATCGACGCAGTCCAGTCGGACTCCTCGACGCAGATCCCTTCGAGCCTTCGAGTGACGGACTCTTCCCCATGCGGCGGGGATGGCGTGCATGGGCCAGCGGCGGGCAAGCCGGCAGGCATCAGAGTCGCTAGAGATGTATATACCAGCAGTCACAAAGAGGTGCTTAATGGAGGTTAGGTTAGGGGTGCCCATTTTCCACTCACTTGGGGACTAAACACAACCCCTTTGTGACTGCTGGTAGATGAGCTGCTTTTGGTCTTCCAGATGTTTGATTCATTTTCCTTTGGAGATTCAGAAGAGTATGGAAGAGATAAGTCTTACGGACTCCTTTTTCTGATTTTTGAGTGCTTCTGCTTTACAAAGTTTACGATATGATGAGTCTCTCCCTAACAAGACCTCTTCACTTGCATCCAGGGTGCACTTGCTCACCGGCAAGAGGAAGATGGGTGCCCTGCCCAGTTGTTTCACTGGAAAGGTTGGTGGGAAGACGAGGAAGCAAGGCTTTCGTGTCAATTTCCATCTATCCTAGTTTTTCAAGACCATTAAACACATGGTTGAGCTAGTTTTGTAGTCCAATCCTCAGTAAAGCAATGGTTGTTCGGAAAGAGCCATTAAAACAATGGTGGGCATTCGGAATCTCAGGGTCTACATCGACAAGCGACACATGATGTTCTGACCATTTCCCACGCCTTGAAGGATGGGTTTCTTTTCGTGTGAAGTCGACGGGCAGCTTTTCGGGTTGGAGGAAGGTGCCAGGTGCCATCGTGCGTTGGCTGAAGACGTCCCTTACACACATGGACGTCCCACTCGTTGAGTTGCTGATTCAAACCTTGGTCGGGAGAGATTTCCATTCGATGAGCCAGCTCAGTCCCACAATTCGCAACGATTTGGAGTTCTGGAGGGTTTCAATCAAGTGCCACGTCCTCGAGGTTCTCTGGGCTTCGAGACTGAGGCTCCGTTGCGTGGGCCGCCTGCCGCAGCAAGTGACCTTGCAGGGCAATCGCTCTGTCCTGAGAGCAGCGGAAGGACATTTGGAGATCTTCCAACCTGGAGGCTGCGATGGTGTCCGGCTGGGGGAGGATATTTTCGAAATGAATGGTGGACATCGCGTCGATATGATGATAGATCGACAGATTTTCTATGATTTTCTGCCTGCAACGCAACAGCTTGAAAGCCACCCTTGTTTCTACGGGAGGTTGGCTCACAACTGATGCCTGGGTCCCTACGGATGCAGAGGTGTCCTATATTGAGGCTTGGTTGATTCGGATGCGAGGGCTTGGAGTCTGAATTGACGAATGAACACCATCTCGTGACCTTCCCGCAGGAGAGAGACTTGATGAAGATTGCATGTCCTGTACTTGGGGCAAGGATGCTACTAGGGGCTCCTGGCCTTACTACTAGGAGCAAGTAGCTACTAGGGGCTCCTGGCATCGCCACGAACGGAGCGATCGAACGCTATGAACGGGGCATTCCACCGGAGTGGACCGAACGGACCGACGCCCGACCTGAGACCCACTGGTCAGGATGGGATGCCCAGGATGGTGGTCTCCAAATTGGAGGCAGCTCCCCAGAGGCAGCAAGTTCATGAAACATTTTGGGAGTTCTTTTCCATGAGAGTTGATGTTCGTCTACCCGACCCGGCGGTCTACCGTGATGCTGAGGAGACCGAGTACAGCTTTCGATGGATCACCAAGCTCGGGGGCGAGGCAGAGACCGAAGGGGTTGAATCTTGGTTGCTGGTGAGCCACTTTTGGGAATGAACAAGGTCATTTCGGAATCAGAATCTTTGAGACTGGTCCCTGCAAGTTGTTCCAAGAATGATGTATGACATTGTATGACAGTATGACAGACACCAGTCCCTCGAAGATCTCACCAAAAACGGCACCCGGCACCCGCTTCGAGGAGGGACATTTTCTCGAAGATGAGAAGGTTCCATCCGATTCCATCCCCTGTGAAAACGCCTCACCAGGCACGCTGCAGCTGCTCCACTGCTGGAAAGCCCCTGGCCCCCCGGAAGCTGCGCACGCTGCGGCGGCGGCCGAAGGGTTTGACGGTGCAGGTGGGAGGAGGGCAGGGGCGACAGGGGGTTGGAGGGGTTTTCGAGGGCGAGGTGGAGGTGTATGCCCGCGACTTCTGACAATTAATATCAATTAATTATATATTTATATATCATCATATAACCCCCAACCAGAATGGTTATATACATCAACGATCAACATTTCCGCATCTTAGAATCACCACCTCTCGTCCTGTGGAAAGGTGGAGGCCAGTCACGAGTCCGACGGCTTGCCGCTGCTGGCGTGTGAGTTGCAGTGGTGCCAGTTCTCTTGGACCTCCTGGAGTTCAAAGCTGGTCACTGCTGAGGCTCGAAGGAAGGAAAGGAAGGGCACCTCCGAATGGCCCAATTTTTAAGTCCCAAGAAGGCCTAAGGCCTGCGATTTTCAGGGTTTCAAGGGTTCGACAGACCGGAGAAGCGAAGCAAGAAACCAAGGCTCAGTACAAGGGGCTTTGTGGAAGTGGACGACTTTTCAGCGAACCACAGGAGTAAACCCGGCCTCCACCTTTTGGAGGCCTTGGACGTGCAGAAAGCTGGTTAGGAAGTCTTCTCTCCCCCTCATTCCAGCAGGGCTTCCAGCACCTCTTCTTCATTCCCCTTCTAACCTCTAACCAATACTCAGAAGAGGAAACACCTCCAGGGACCGGCTTCACGGCCCCGTCGGCGCATCCGTCGCGACCGTGCAGGACGCTGGAAGCGTCGCCGTGTCTCGGCCGAGGTGAATGGGGTGATGTTGGGTGAGGGGGGGCGAGTGCTCGGACCATCCACTCAGTAAAACACCATAAAGCAGAAGAACTATGAAGAACTCATTGTTTGAAGCTGGAACACAGCCCTTGCTCTTGTGGACATTGGAGGGGCTGACTTGTCTCTTGAGAAACAGTGAAGTTTCTACCTCAAGGCAGTTATTAGAACGTGAGGGATCGGGGCACACGTTGGATGGAGCCAACCCGAGCCTCTCAAAAGTGGAGGAGCCACCGAAGCTGGTCGTGTGGAATTGGGCATGCGGAAAGTTGTGGGCAGCTTTTGGATGACTAGGAAAGCCACTTGCTGCACGCTCAATAGCTGGCCGGTAGGTCGGTGCTTAAGTTGATAGAACAGCGAAACACCTCGAATGCCTGAAACAAATTCATCTACCATGAACATGAAGGTCATGAATCTCACACGATTCTCGTCCCACGCGGAGATCTCCAAGTGCCTAACTTGAGTCGCCTGCCTGGCTTCATGGGGGTCCTACTGTGGAAGCCCAGCTCAGTTGCTCCAAGGTGTGGGAGATCTTCTTAGAGAACCTCTCACTCTGCAGCGACTACCAGCTGCGGGCACGCTTCTGCAATGCTGTGGGCTGGTCGCAGGACCAGATGGTGGTCGT